TTAACACCAGCAAATGAATGAGCTCCCAAGCCAAGGGAAAGTGCCAGCTCCTCACATGGATGGTACAGCAGCAGTGACAACAGATGAGTCCACGGGACCATCTCACACGGAAAGGCAGCAAAACCAGCATCACAACAGAGCCATTTATCTGAGGGGGCACTTGAATGATGCAGCTGTGGCGAGCAAGGCAGAAAAGACAAATTGAGAACCCCAACGCATCCCAACAGCTGCGGGGTGGAGAACCCGAACATAAATGCAAAAGCTGAGACAAATAAATATCATTTCTCCAATACAGAGAGACAAAAGGTGAGCAGTGGTCATACAGCAGGGGAAAAGGTTTGCTTTCCAAGGGGAAACCATGGCAATACACACACGGCTTTCCAAGGGGAAACCCTGGCAAAACACACACGGCTTTCCAAGGGAAACCCTGGCAATACACACACGGCTTTCCAAGGGGAAAACCCAGCCATACACGGCTTTCCAAGGACAAACCCTGGCAATACACACACGGCTTTCCAAGGGGAACCCTGGCAATTTACACACGGTATTCCAAGGGGAAACCCTGGCAATACACACACGGCTTTCCAAGGGGAACCCTGGCAATTTACACACGGCGTTCCAAGGGGAAACCCTGGCAATACACATACAGCTTTCCAAGGTGAAAACAGCAGCACACACGGTTTTCCAAGGGGAAACCCTGGCAATACACACACGGCTTTCCAAGGGAACCCAGCAAGGGAACCCACACGGCTTTCCCTGGCAATACACACCCGGCTTTCCCAGCCCAAAGCCAGCAGCCCTCCCCGTGGCAGTACGAAACGCCCCGGCCATGTGCCGCTAGGAGAATTCACGGAGCAGCCCCGCAGCGCTGCCCGCAGCGATGGCAGCGCGGCACACACGGCTCCTCCGCAAGCTCCAGCTGGGGTACACGGCCTGCCTCCCCCGTCCTCCTGCCCCTCCCGCCCTCCTCGCGACCCCCGGGACTGAGGGGAGGAAGGAGCAGCCTCGGGAGCAGCCTCGGGAGCAGCCGCGGGGTTACGGGAGGGCAGGCAGGGCCTGGCAAAGGAGAGGGCGGCGGGGGCGCAGCACCGGGTCCCAGTCCCGCTCCCACCAACCTAGCACACAGTCCAGGGAGGGCAGCCCGCTGGAGAGCAGCAGCTGCCCGTGGCGCACCGAGGGCCGAGTGCCCGGCAGGGCGGGCAGCCGCGGACCGGCCCCGGGCCTGCGCTGGAAGCTGGTGCGGCCCCGCTCCCCGCCGGCCGCCGCCATGTCGGGGCCGGGCACGCCGAGCCGGCGCTCCGCCAATGGGCGAGCGGCTCCGGCAGCCGCCGGCCAATGGGAGCCCACGTTGTTGGCACGTGCGGAGCCGGCGGAGCGCTGCGGGGCCCGGCGGCTAACGGGGAGGTGAGAGCGGCACCGGGGGGAAGCGGGGTCTTGCTGGGGCTGAGGGGACACCGGGGCCTTGCCCGGGCCTGAGGGGACACCGGGGCACACCGAGGCCTTGTCCGGGGCTGGCAGCGGGCACGGAACGGCGCGGGGAGTGCGGCACGGGTGCTGTGGAGGGGACACCCCGCTTGTCCCGCACGGTGTCTGCAGGGCCGGGGGCGGACAGGCTCGCCTGGAGCGGCATCAGCCTCTTCGGAAATAGCCTGCGAGAGAAAAGTGCTTATAAAATGTATTTTCGTATCATAATGTGAGTATACTTGGGTCCCTGCTTGGTTGTGCATAGGCACGGAGCTGTGGCAGGCGTGTGGTTTAATGCATTCACTTGGCAGCAAGATCTTGTGTCGGTGTGGACCAAGACGTGTGGTAGAAAAGTTAAAAGGCATTAAAATGCTTTGACAAGTTCTAGTATGTTTGGTTTGTCAGTCAACGCTCTATGTTCTGGTGCTCTGAAAGCAAGAGAAGCCCCTGTCAGTATAGAGAACAGCCACTACCAGAAGTATTTTTATGTTTGTTTTTCATGTCGGTGGTTCAGGTGCATCCAAGCTGCTTGAAGGCTCTTGTACAAGTAGAAAGAAAAAACAAGCTTTAATACTGTAATCCCTCACTCTCAGTCTTTAATTCTAGTGGATCATGTTTACTGTCGTTCTAAGTCAGCTTTGTGAACACCTGTGGTTCTTGAGTCTCTTTTTAATTGAGGGCAAAAAAATCCTCGCGTTAAATATGAGCAGCATGAAAGAGCAGCAATATGTGGGCAGTCCTGGACCTCAGCATTTTCCCTTCATATCCAATTCAAATTCAGGACCATGAAACTTCAGTGTCATGTGGCCCTAGCTGGGGGAAAGGATGTTCTTTTTGCTGCTGGCCGAGCTTCCACACGTGCTGAGCAGTAGACAAATCAAGATCTTTTATCAGCAGTATCAAGAGGTTGTCTTAAGATTTTGTATTTTCTGCTAAGCTGTGAAATATTGGATAATACCTAATTTTAAGTATAGATTGTTGTTTAGTGAAAGTTAGAAGTATCTGTCTGTAGAGGAGAAGATCAAAGGAGACTGGAAACCATGGCAAGAAATAAACAAAGCTGTTTAATTTCACTTCTGTAGTATGTGACCAATGAGGTGTGAATATCTGGACTAGGAAAGGCCAACGAAATAAAGACCCAAAGCATAATCCACAATTCTTTTAAAAGGGTTTGAGCCTCTGTTTCTGTCAGTGGGATCCTGTGGTGTGGATTCTGTCTGACAGAAGAGGAGGCTGAAACCTAGGGAGAGTTCTTCACTTTCAAACATCACAGTGACTCTGCCTTTTCTTACTGTACTGTGCTCCTGGAGCCTAAATCCCAGAATATTTCAGGTGTAAGTGCTTGAAAGTGTGTGTGACACAGCAATTGCAGGATATCTGTTGAGATCCTTGTTACAGAAGCTCGTGACTCAGTGATAAGGATGTCTCTGACAAGTCACTGCTTACCTGTCAGAAAGGTAAGCAGTGAAAAGAGAATCCACTGATAAACTGCACCTACTCAATCTCTGGGATGGTTTTTTCCCATTTCAAGCAGTACATTTTCTTTTCTTACTTCATTAACACAAAATATTTCCTTGCTTTATTGTTTCTTTTAATTAAAATACACTATTGTAGGTTGTCTTAACTTGACATAGATCCAGGGCTGAGCCCTCTCTTTTGTTCTTTCATTACTACTCGCCTGCCATGTAAGGATTTTTTTATACTTTTTTAACCTCATTTTCCTACAGGCCAATTAAAATTGTAGGCTCAATAATTCCTTCTCTTTTTTTTTTTTTCCCTTTTTTCTCTTTCCTATTGGAAAGTGAACACACATAATGAAAGTATTTTGCAAATGGGAATGCTTGTGCCATGCCCCTCCCATTGTTAGTGTTTCTTGGCTAAACTGCACATCTCCTGGCAATCTCACTGGCTCAGGAGCTGATCCAGTGGGTCAGGGATGCAAAAGAGGAGATCTCACTCCCTGCTCCTCCTGTGTTTCCAATCCAGCAAACCCTGGTGCTGGTCAGTTCCCTCCTTGGGCTGGTTGAGCTCACTAAACTGATTTGGAGCTATCAACTGACTTTCTCAACAATTTCATTTTGTGCCATCCTGTGAGCTGGTGCTGCATGGAGGGAGGCAGCCCAACCTCCCAGCTCTTGCTAGCTCAGAACTTTGTAGTTATTTCAGAATAAAAATTGCATTTTTACATTTAAAAAAAAGGGTTTTTACATGCAGTGGTATTTTTGTTACAAAGTTTTTTTGTAGACATCATTCCAAATATAGAGACATGGTGTCTTACATTGTAACAGCATGAGAGACTGTTTCATATATAACAAAAATAATGAAGTAGATACAATTTTTTCGGTATGAGAACTGAACTTTTAAAATATAGCAGTAGTTGTGTTTGTGGTGTTTATTTTTCCCCAGCCACAATTTAACCTGATGGGTGCAGTTCAAATCCTACTGATTTAGAAAGTGAGTGGAAATAAGCTATTTTTCAATCAGTGGGGGATTTTTCAAATGTTAACATTTTAATACAATAAAGCTTTCTGACTGCATATGTGCTTATGGAAATACTGCTTACAACATCTGACTTTACCTCTCTTTCAGACAAATTTCAGAGAAAGGACTAATTTAATGCAAGTTTAATGTCATATTTCTTTAGTCAATTATTTTTAAATCAACGGTGTTTCGTTTTCAGGAATAACAATATTTTTTTCACCCTTTTTGAATGATACTGAAGAATTGCTTATATTCACATGTCCAGTTTTGAACAGGTGAATTTTCAGTCGTTGTAGAAGATCCCACTAAGATCTGCTGTCTGGCAGAAAGGAAGACCACAGCAATTGTGATTCTAGACATTACCCTAATCCTCAAATGCACATTATGAGCTAGATAAATCCTACTGCTCCTGCTCTAGGGGTGGAATGGAAATGCAGAGAGACTAAGGAACATGGAAATGATTTCCAGTGCTCAGGAAGTGTCTTAGGGAGTTATTTCTTGTCAGCTGAGCTATGGCAATGGACAGGGGTCCTACTCAGCTCATTGAAGAATGGAGAGGTTTAAACATTTTTTGTCTATTTTGGGATGTCTCAAACTGTAGAATAATCAACTTTCCTTCCTCAGAGCTCACATGTTGTCATGTAGAGCTGGTCAAATGGGGATGTCAGTTTAACTGCAAATCCTAATTGTGCTGTGGAGAAATCAAGCTCTCTGTTTTCCTCTTCTTGCAAACTTCCTGGTCCAGTTCAGCTGCTTGCAGATTCTAAGATGGATTAAGAGGATTTGGGGTAAAAATTGCCTAAGGAAAAAAAAATAAAATGGAGGGAATACAATTTTAAGTGAGAGAGCAGTCAGAACATTTGGGGAAAGGTTATGCTTGGAATTTGATCTGCAAGTATGTTTGACATTTCTCTTCCAAAACTGTAGCCTACAGACTTGGGGAAAATCCTGGTGTCCCCAGAATAGCAGCCCTTCAAGTGTGCTTTGGCTGTTTGTGGTTGATAATGATACCTCAGGTTTAGCTTTTGTATTTTTCCCATTCTGTGCTGCTTTAGTGTGTGGGTCTGAGCTTCACATTCAGGGATGGTGAGCTCTGTGCACAGAGCAGGGAGACAAAACAATTCCTGCTCCAGCTGGGCACCAAGGACAAATGATCCCAATCTCAGCCCAAGAGCACAAACCCCGTGGGCTGCAGAGAGAAAAACAAGCAGGGTGGGACTGCAGGGGCTAAAGCTGGAATGGGACAATGAACTGCAAGATGCAAATGGAGCAGAACTGATCCAAGGGAGAGAGCCCGGGAGCGCTGGTGCATTTTGGGGCCATTTTGGTTCATCTTGGGTGCAGCCCTGGCTGGGCTCTGGTGCTGCCCAAGGTGGATCCATGGAGGAGATGCTTTGAATCAATCCCTGCTTGATTCTTTAGCTCTGCCCAGCCCCTGCTCTAGGGCAGCCTGCACAAGGGATCATCTTTGGTGACCACGAAGGGACAGAAGGCATCAGTAAGAGGAAGCACACTTGTCATGGCCTCTCTTTAGCACGTGGGTTGCCCATGTAGCCTCATAGGGCAAGTTAACAGCAGCAGCACTGTGTGGGCAGTGTTCCTCAACGACAGGGTGTTACTACTGATGGATGTGTTCTGATGTCTTTGCTTTCAAATCAATGGTTTTGCTGGATTTTAGTTGTGCTGCAGAAGATTCATGTATGCTCTTGTCTGTGAACAAAATGCTGTTCATTTTGGAATAAAACACCAGCCCATTTTATTTCAAATTAATTTCATTTATATATGTCTGCCAGACCAGCTTTCAGTGATATTTTTCTGCTGGATTTATGTGTGGGATAGAGAACCAGAAAAGCACATCCCAGTAGCTGTTGTAATCATAATCTTATTAGAGTTTGCAGTTTCATCGCCGGGCTGCTTCTCTCATCAGTTGTGGAATGTGCTGGTATGAGACTGTACTGATTAAAGTTTTACAGGCACCAAATCAGATTAGGCACCGAGTCACCTGACCAGGCTGCGCTCGCAGTCATGTGAGCCACGCCCTGCTGAGCTCCTGCTGGGAGCCGAAACAAGGTAGTTTGCTTTGGAGATGTTCTTAAGTATCTAACAGCATGGGTCGTGGATTATGGCTGCAAAGAAGATGGCTTCATTTTCCTGATCTTTGAACTAGCTGGAATGGGATAAGTTTGAAAGTGCAGGATCTTCAGGCCATGAGCCAACAACTGGAAAGAATGTTTAATCCTGGAAGCTCTGACACCAAAAGACCTGGGTTTTTTCAGTGTGAAAAAGCTTAAAGACTGCTTATTCAGTCTGTCTGTGGCAAATGAAAGAATTATTTGGAGGGTTTAGGACTTGCCAGTTGTATGATATTATATAAAACATAAGATCTTATTCAGAAAGCCTCTGGATGTTACCCAAATTCATCCTTGTGGGTATCCTGAGCAACAGGGAAAAAAATTTAAACCTGTGTCAAATTTAAACAGCTCTTTTAAAATAGAAGTAAATTAGGAGACATGAGTTAAAGTAGTATGTGCTGAAGACAAGAAATTATTTTAAAGGTTACTTTATGTTTCTGTAATTTCAGAACTGTACAGTAAAATACTACTGAAACCTGCAGAACAAGAATCTTGAAAGTGAATTGTGAGTTTAATTTAGTGTCTTAATAAGCATCATACAGATTAGTGCTGTATTTAATAGAGATTATTTTCCTTGTATTTCTCATGCTTCCTGATGAGAGCCACAAACATGGAAGGAACCTCAGGTTTCTGGTACTGGCCAATGATGTTTTGTGGTTATTGTCTCCCATAGATATTGCAGACAGGAATGCTAACTTGATATTTCAGCTCCCACTGACTCTCACAGCACTCTGGCCATCCACAGAGTGAGGCATGGGCCAGGGTGTCCTGCAGGAAATAATTCTGTAGAGATGTGTATTGCTTGCTCTTCAAAAAGTTTGACTAGAATGGTAAACTAATTTGGTCACTGAGGGGCAGGTGAAGAAAATTTTGGCCTTTAAGTAGTCAGGAAGTAAAATTGGGATTTTTCAGTATGAGTTATAAAGTTGGATATAAGACAAGCAAGCAACCTAGTAAAACTCATTGTAAAGCCAGATTCACAACTGGCTACTTAGGGAAACTTAAGTTGTTTCAAATTTGGAATAATGTTCTGGTGAAATAATAAAATAGAATAGAATAAAATAATGAGTATCTAGCCTTTTTTTGTAGTCAGGCTGTATTTTAGCAAATCATCATTATTCTTTATCTCAGTGGATTCAGCTTCCATCCCCTACACTGAGCCTACCAATTCCATGCCAAAAGTTCTTTGTGGGAACCCCATTTCAGGAGCATCTATCTGGGAGCAGGGCTGCTATTTTTTCCAATTTTCCCCCCCTCTTGTACTGAATTGCATTTTGTGTGAGATAATATATGTAAAAGGAATAAAAATGAATTTACATTTAAAACTGTAGATGCTGAAACAGATTGAGGGAAGGCCAAAATGTTATCAAGGTCCTAGAAATAACAGTCCTGTAAGTGGTTACTGCAGAATAACTCAGTGTAATGTGAGTGGAACACACAAGATTACTGAAACCTGCAGAACAATAATCTTCAAAATGAACTGTGAGTTTAATTTCTTTGTGGGTGCTGCTGGAAATGTGAGCTTCACTAATTGCTTTAAAGTCCTGTCTTGGTATTGTGTGGAAAGAATAGAATGTCTTATTTCATTGCACTGAGGGGGTAGTTCATCTGAAGTTTTAGCCCTAAGGTTTATTAGAAAACCTGTTTCTCTTCAGTAGCCATGTTTTCAATATTTCTGTGATTGAAAATATTTCTGTGATTGTGACTGTGACAGTGTCCCTAGCAGAGGGAGAAAGGTAATGGAGCTTTTTTTTTCTTTTACATCCTGCTCTTATATTTCTGTGAAAACTGTTGCACATTCTTAGAGCCTCATGCTTCCACCTTTTCTCAGTTGTGCTTCCATTGGTCCGAGAAGTGTGAAGCACTGTTTGATCTTGGTGTTCACTGTTTGATCCTGGTGTTCTCATGCTATTGCCAAACCACAGTGAATTTTTAATAGAATTTTTAACATTTCTGGCACAAAAGAACTGCAATTCACAAGCATTAAGTTGTAGGAATATCATCAATTTTCTTAGCATGCACAAAGTATCAGTGAAAGGAGCTGCATGTGACCAGTCACTGATCATCCTTTTAGAAAAGCAATGTATTATGGTGGAAAGGGCAAGCCATGTTCTGTACTTTTGGAACAAACCAGATCAGCAAATGTAGATGAAATAAAAGCTTACCACTTATTCAAAACCTGAAAAGTTTTTAAGAAGGCAGTCCAGGGAGACAGTACTAATGAAGTTACACAGTGATTGTTTCTGTACTGCTTTTCTGTTTCACAAGTACTTGTGTCCTCATTTGAAACTCCTGTTTGGGCTGGACGTCTGTGGTAAAATGAGCCATGCAGGCCCTGCTTGGTGATGTGTTTGGTGCAGTTTGTGGGGCTGGAGCGTGCTCTGCACCTCAGCTTAGGATCATTTACTAAATTGGAGAAAGGCATCTCGACTTATTTGATTCACTAAGTAGTCAGTTTTCACATTTATTATTGTGTCAGCTGTATCTTTTATTTTAAACCATCAAATTAAATAATAGCTTATGCTGGCTTTCTGTTTTAGTTCATGCATTTAAAACCTGGAAGTCAGATAAAAAGATAGTTTCAGAATAAATTCAGTATATTATTTATGAGTGGAGCAACACATTAGCATGGAGTTCACAATAGATCATATCGCTTTTATTCCATCTTACAAGCTTAGCAGCACAAACAGAATAATCAACATATTATTTGGCTGTCATCTGCTGAACAGAAAGCAGAGATCACAAGGAGGTTTTCCCTAGCTGCAGTGATGGCCTTTTTGTTCCAAGCCCCCATCTGGGAGGGCCATGGTGTGTTATCATATGGAACGCGGGGTTTGCTGTAATCTGCTTAGCTGCACTGCAGTTTGAATCTTTATTCCATGTTTGTGTAATTTATAATTTTAATGAGACCGTGCCTCTTGTGGGCTTTGAAATATATTAAAAGCTCTTTTGTGCATATGCTTTTGTTCTTGCTTAATAGGCTCAGTGTATTTAAAACTGATGAATTTTTATTCATGGATTTGGATGTCTGGGGATTAACTTAGATTGAATATCATTGCACTCATCTATTGATGTTTGGAACTTTTTTATACTTGTATCTCTAAGTGGAGAAGACCTTACAGAACTTGTGTTTTACACATAAAACAGCTCCGAAATAACTAATAAAATTCTATTGAGCAATGAGCAAAAATACTGATTACAGTTTATTTTTACTGCATAAACTCTCCTGAATTACCATTTTGCTGTGGAAAAAGTCCTTGAGTCCATGAACATGTGTGTATTTAGAACTTTGTAAATAAAAAACAGTTTGGGAAAGCACTCAACATTTTTGTAGAATATCAGCAGTGATAACCACTTGATTTGCATTTTTCTTCTGTTCAGGTAACTTGAAAATGTAAATACTGAGCACTCTCTTGTCTGACTGTGTTGCCTTTCTCCTGTTTTTAACACATTTTTTTAATGCAGAGTGTGCATAAACTATTTCATTAGAAGGTGATGCTCATAACTGGGGAGTATTGATAAACATACAGAAGGATTCTTCACTGCTATTTTCTGACAGTGCTAAAACTGGTCTTGATTTTTGCTTTTGTATTTTTCAGATGTTTAATGGTTTGTTTATTTGTTTGATTTACTGTTTGTTTAAAGATTTGATACTTTGTGACTTCTGTGTTTTTAAACTACTGTGGAGCACTCTTCAATGATGGCATTCTCTCTGAGACCAGCACTGGCAATAAGATGGAGACAATTGTGGTTTTTCTAAATAATCTTGCTGATGGTGTACTGAAATGTGGAGGGGGTTTGGGTTTTTGTTTGTGGTGTTTTTGATGGGTTGGCTGGTTTTTACCAGCAAACCATCATCTTTGTAATGACAAAATATTTCAAGTAAACAGCCTTTTTAGTTCTCAGTGCACAAGGGAGTTATTCATCCCTCTTCTCTTCGCTGCTTTGAGCAGTATTTCCAAATCATATTTCCATAAGATGTGTCAGCTGGGAAGTGCAGGGGACACGTGAGCCATGGGCAGCTTCAGCTTTTGTAGGGTTGTAGATTTTTAGTGCCTAATGTGAAAATCAGGCTTGTAATTCTTTGTCTTATAAAACTGAAATGAATTTTCAATGTTTATATGTCTGTGTCTCAAGGAAGTGAATGTATTGAAATTGAAGATAAGCATGTAGTTATTTGACCATTGTGACGTGGGCACAGCCTGATTTTCTCAGTTACCAGGAAAGTGACTGTGGTGTCTGCCAGACCTTTGGTGGTTGTCCTGACTTTGACCTTGTTGCAGAAGACTGTAAAGTGAGTATTTTGGCATCCCTCAGAGGCCCGTGTATGACCATGCCTTTGCTCAGCTGTCTGGATTTCACTGTTCAGCAAAGAGGAGTGAATGGAGCTGCAGAGGAGGACAAGCTTTGGAATGCATCTGGCCATTAAAACAGCGTTTTATTCAGGGTTGTGCAAGTGTTAGGAGCTGCTTCCCAAAGGTAAATAGAACCAGTGAGAACTACCTGAAATCTGTGTTGGGAAATTGCTCATTCTTGTCTGTAGTCTCTGGTTATTTAACACCAGCCAATTGTGTTATGTTTACAGGATTAAACTCCTTGTCAGCTTGAGATCAGCAGCTGAAGGAGCTCTCGTTGGAGACAAACTGCCAGTGCCTAGTAGAGATAATGTGTAAAAATGTAATCTCTTCCAGAATATCACCAAGCTTTCTCACATTTGCCAGACCAAGTCCAGTGTTTCTTCCAGAGTAAAGCAACAGCTGGAAATAAAAAGCAATTCTTCTGATCTCCAGCACAGAGGGACCTTTTGAAAAGGGTTCTTTGTTTTGCTTTAGATGTTCAGAATCCTCAGATGGAAATTAGAATATTTAAAGCATTTTGTATATTTATATTTTGTATATTCATATATATATATATATACTTAAAACATTGTGAATCTAATATGGGAAGCATCCAAATAAACAAGATATACACCCTTTGCTCTTCTAGCACATGTGACATCAGTTTCATGCAGAAGTTTTTAAATAATAGTTTAATATAAATAACAGTTCAAACATAAATATTTAAATGGCCTAGTCAGTTTGCAATTTTATCTTTGGTTTGAGTTTTTGGATTGTTTTTTAAGGTAATCTCAGAGTAATTCTGTGGGAAAGAGATGGTGCAAGTTATGTGTAGAGAAAGGTGTCTGGTTAGAAGTGGAGAATGTTAGGAGAAGAGTTTTTGTTGTGGAAGGAAAAACTGATAATCTCTCACTACATATTCAATGAGATTCCAGAATTGAGAAACATGATATAAAGCAAATACGACAGGAGATGTTTTATGAAAGTGAAAAATCTGTTTAGTGCCAAGTGCAGTGATTTGTTTAGTCACACTTTCAGTGCCTTCAGCTTTGATTTTCCTGTATTTAAAAATTCAGCACTGTATCTTAAATTGTCTTACACAATGCCGTTGGTCTTCTGGAAATGGTAAATCTGCTCATTGATTTTCTAATTTTATTATATACACAATAATTGTAATCCAAGATTACAGCAAACAAGATGTTAATTTCTAGACAACCTACGTCCATTTCCCTCAGAGTGCGGGTGCTACAGAAGCAAAGAGTACAAAGAGAATACCATTTGTGCTATCCTCACAGGAGCTGTCAATAAAAGATGTAATAGGGGATTTAGGAATCTGGAAATGGCCAACTAATTTATGTGAATCTATTTTATTTCAGCTAGAAAGCCCAAGCTCTGTTTCGTCTGCACTGCATATTGCAGAGCACAGGCTGTCTATAGAAAACCAGGCGGCTGCATATGGATAGTCCCTTGATATCATTCACTTGCTGTGTAATCTTATTATGCAAAGTTCTAATCTTCACCTAGAATGAATGCCTCTGGGTCAGAATATAGTCATATCAGGGTTTTTGAGGTCATGTTTTGTGATCCTTAGCTTATTCTTCTAAGTAGAGCTGGGATTTAAAGAGTATTCCCCAGACACTGGCAGAGATAGACAGCAAGACCTGCTGCCTTTTTGGAAGACAAGACCAACATGAGGTCCCTGGTAGGATTAAACTTGATTTGTAGCTGTAGGATTTTTTAACAGATGTATTATTGGACAGGGAATAGGGGGCCACCAGCACAGCGAAATTGGATCACAATTGGCATTCTCAGGGAGTCCGCTGGCTGCTAAAACAGCAGCTGCATGTGGATTTGACTTCTTTCAGGTGAAGCGACTTCCAGTCATTTGGAAAGGATGGGATGAAAAGGAACCTTGGTGATAATTTTGATGTCTGCAAGATTTAGTACCAATGTAATGGGATTATCGGTAACACCTTCGCTGCAGAAAAAGCCACCTGGCGCTATAACTGGCAGCAACTGAGAACTAATCCTTTCCCATCTCTTGGATGTCATTCATGAGGCTCAAAGTGATTTCTACCCTGCTAGCTGTGATTAATTTTATAAACAAACAAACAAAAACCGAGCGATGAAAGCACAGGCTGTGGGAGGAAAAGGGAACAGAAGATACTTGTAATTACATTTTGCATTTTATCTGCTGTGTATTTTACAACTGTACACTTGTGGTAAAATAATGAAATTGTGTTCTCTGTGATAAATATGGATGTGTGACCTTTTTTAACCAGTGCTGATTTCGGTAGAAATTTTTCAGCTACCTGCTATATGATAGTAGGTAGTACCTGGAAGTAATTAGGTTTTAGGATGTTTATACTACAGAGCCATTAAGTTTTCAAGGGGCCTGTGACTTAAATAATTTGTTTTATTGTGCTTAATGGTCTTATGTTTGATCTGGTGGAGTTGCCTGCTGATGGTACTTTGTATTAAAATTGTGTGATGTGGAAACCTGTGTTTATTTCCTTGTGATCAACAATATGACATTGTTTCAAAAATATAATGACATGAAGTTGTCAGAGGAAACAATTATATTTTAACAATTGTACTTATTAACAATTACATTTTAATGATGCTCAAGTTAATTATTTCTGTGTGTGTCTTTTTTTTTTTTTAATAAACTAGTTTGGTCTGGTGGTTTTTTTACTAAACTTGCTACAACCAGTTATTAACCAGAAGTCGTTACTTAAAATGACATGGAAATTCTTAGGATTTTAGTTATTTGGAATGAATATTAGATGTCTAAAGATGAACCTTAACATTTAAAACACCTTCCCATACTCAGGAGGTGCCTTGCCAGGGTCAGACTCTATAATCCAGGTCTATACGTGTCTTCATTTGAAATTAACTTTCTTGAGTAGTAGTCAAAATCTTTTACATAAAATGAAGAATTTTTTGGTTGTTTTCATAAAATCTGATAAGCTTGAGCATTTAAAAAAATCCTTTGTACTACATTTATAAGAAGGAGTTGGTGAAATCTATGTCTCAGGCATTAAGAATTTATTTTAAGAGAACTGGGAACAAAATTTGAGAGCTCTTCACTCATGTTCTATCCTTGTGATTAGTTTTTTACCATGGCAGCTGTGGCAGCAGGCAAAGCTCACTCTGAGCCCTGGGTGTTCCTGAATAGCTCCCAAACCTACTCACAAGCATCCCAAGGAAACACATGTCCAGGGTAACTATCCCTAGATTTGTGTCACCCAAAATCCAAAAGGAAACAGCTTACAATCACTTTGAAACTTGTTTTCTGACATGTATAGCAGTTGTCTGGACTTCCATAATAAAAATATTTTAGTTACAACCTGACAGCTGGCGGCATGGGAGGCTTGCACATTCTTTTGATGTTGTTACTGTTTATTTGTCCGAGTTTGATCTGTGTACTCTGGGCATTGTAATGCATTGTTTGCTTACCTGCAATACCCACAGGTGCCTAAATTCTCTACTATCTTAATATGTTAATGTCACTATAGGACACGAAATGACACAGACATGCTGCTTTTATCAAGGTAAAAAGAGACTTTTTTAATTTCTGATTCCAACATTTATAGATTCCCAAAAGTGACAGTGGATTGGAGGGTGAAAGTGCCCCCTCTCCAATGACACTGGACAAACCAAGAGTGCATCAAATTTCTCCTCCTCCATAAAAGAATGCAAAAAAATGAGTTATTTACAGAAAGTGTGTGAGAAAGTTCGTTACAAGAATGTAAACATCAGAAGGCTTAGAAAATCTTAAAAAATCAGGGCGACAGTTAATGTGTTAATATAAGGTTTCTGAATAGCATGGGGCAAAAATAGTGGATGCTTGTGCAGTATTTTTCTTTCTTCCTGAACTGAGAAGCAATGTGAGGCTCCTTTTTAGCAGATGCTGTTAAGAAGTATTGATGATAGATTTCTCTGAAATCGTAGTTGTGCATTCACCTACTTCTGCAACTCAGATTCATCTGCTGTGCCTCCACCTTCCTTTTATCACCTGTGTCACAGCTCTGGGCTCTCAGTGTGTCTGGCCTAAGAGTAAGGCATTGGTTGGTGCACTGAATTGAGAAGAGCCAACCACTTCTGTGCCTCACCAGGATGGATTCTGCTGAAAGTGCATTCCCCTTCCAGGGGAGCTGTTCCAGTTCCTGCAGTGTGTTGTGCTGGGTGCTGCATCTGCCAGTGACAAAAATCAGGACTTTTCTGTTTGCCATTGTAATTTGGGTCATTACTGTGAAAATGGTCAGATAGTGAATGATGAATCACAGCTTGGCTTAAGCTGTTCTAGTGCAGAGAAGTTTATGTAGATAAAAAAGGACCTCTCTTTTGGAACAAGGAAATGAACTTGTTAGAGAATATTTGCTCCCAATAATGGTTGTCTTTGGAATGTAGTCAAGCAAAACTCCCATTAAATTCTAGTGGGGGGAGACTGGTGAAAATGAATCCATGTGCTTTTAAATTCCTTAATTTCATTAGTGAAATGTAGAAGAAGGTGTCTTTATTTCTTTTTGAAGTGGGCATATTTTACACAGCATTTTTCCTTTTCTTCTTTTCAACATAATGTATTTGCTCAGCAAACTCTATTGTCCCATCTTAGTAAAAGAGGGAAATCTTGCAGTGGTTTTAGTTCATGGTAAGGCAACACTGAGTTTAAGGGGAACAGGTTTTTTGCAGGATGTAGAACTTGTTTCAATTACTTCATTATGTCTGTTTTCCACTTCCTTAAGTGTAACCACCAAACCGTGGTACGGAAACATTTTATTTAGATTAGCATTGTAGGAATTGGATCTCCTAGTCAGAGTTGGACTTGAATATTTGGGGAAGAGGGTCAGTAAATATTTACAGGCTAATGTAAATAAAAATTTCTCTAACTGTAGAAGTTATGGCACTGTGCTACAGCTGAGAACAGAAGACCTGATGCCTTATTTCTTTGTGCACCTCTTCAGGTCTGTCTGATTATTTGTTGGTATCATTACACTGTTGGGTTTTTTTCATCTTGTTCACCTGTTACACACTAGAGATGGGTTTGTAAATGTAGGATTGCTTGTTGTCCAATGAATGCTCCTCTTGTGTTTTGCTGCAGAGCTGCTGGGCACCGTACACTGTAGGATGCTTCGCAATGCCCTAGGAAAAACCTTCCGATTTCTGGGCTACACGGTGCAGTATGGCTGCATAGCACACTGTGCCTTCGAGTACCTTGGAGGAATTGTTGTGGTAACTCTTCATTTTCATGACATTTCAAAGGGGATAAAACTGTAATACTGACAGTTTTCTGTGTGATGATGCCAATATTTCAGGTTTTGTAATTTTCTTCAAAGCATTTAACACAGTTTATGGGAAGCAAGTCCAGCCTTTGAGAAAGTTATTTGTACTTTGTTTTCTGATGTGTTATTGCTCGAGGCATCACTGAAGTAAATGGGAAATTCTGATTAAGCCTTTTGCACAGAGTCCATCCTTTAAGAAACCCTGGAGTCAGTGATAGGAAATGCCTTTGTTTCATACTCTGGCCAAATTTTTGGGTGTTTTATGCTACCTGCCCCTCCTCCCCACGTCCTTAATCTGGCAGATACTGCTGCTGGGCATGGGGGATTCTGGCTGTGAGCTGCTCCTGCAGCTTCTGTGATGATTCTGTGTCTCAGAGAAGAGAAAGGGGTAAGCTGGTAGGGCTTTGAGCACTACTCCTAAAAATTTCTTGGAGATGCAGTGCTGAAAGGAATCCATAAGGGCCTATAGCACCTAGTGCAGTTCAGGACCAACCCCAAGGAAATATGGAGCTGTAACAGAGTTAGTTAGAGGTGCTCTGGGGGCTCCCCTCAGCTTTGAAATGCATCACACATTCCATGGAGAAGCTCACTTTTAGTTCTCTACAGTCCATCTTTTCTAATTTACTAGCATACCATTTGAATATAAGTTTATTTTAGAAAGAAGCAGTTTGAAATAGTAATTTTTTTTCTCCTTTCTTTTTCATTTGCAGTGCTCTGGACCTTCCATGGAACCAACCATTCAGAACTCTGATGTTGTCTTTTCGGAGAACCTCAGCCGCCACTTTTACTGCATCCGAAAGTACGCTGCTCTCTGGGGAGCACATCTGACATTCCCTTTGCCAGGGCTTGTCAATAACCACATTCTGCCCTTGATCTTTAGTGTATTTTGCTGCTTCTAACTTGTAATTTTTCATTGTGTCTAAAGGATCTTAAAGTTACAAACAGCCCAATGAACATCTTGTCAAAATTCAGTTTAGATTTAGACTGTTGTCACTATCGCAGCTTTGTCCAAAAAATAGAAAAAAATCCTTTTTTTTCCCTCCCCCTGAATGATTCTACTGAGTAGAATGTAACTTCTCTAAGCAGTTTGGTCTTGAAAACCAGCTATGGGTATTACTCAGGTTGTAGTCTTAAATGTTTCATAAATGATCTCAATAACAAAAATTCACTCAACTTTTAAAACTCTGTGAAATTACACCTGAGTAAAACTGAAGAAACCAAAATTGTACACAAGAATTTTCAGCACAATGGACTATCTTTAATGTGTGTGAATATTTTTGGAGTAGATACATGGATGCTCATGTACTCAGCCAAATAGTTTGTAACTAGAGTTCTTCTGTTTGTTTTTGTCTGTTTTTTTCCCTCTCAGAGGAGATATTGTAATTGTGAAAAGCCCAAATGACCCCAAATCAAATATCTGTAAAAGAGTAATTGGCTTGGAAGGGGATAAAGTCTGCACAAGCAACCCTTCAGATTTCCTTAAGAGTCACAGCTATGTAAGTATTAGAGTTTCTTCCTATGTAAATTAAGGATTACTTAAGTAGGCCTGGTGGTCTCTAAAGGATTTGCAATATTTGAGAATCATAATAAATCATAAATTATGACATTAATAAATTATTATTATTGATTATGTACAGTAAAATGTTGTACTTTTAGACTATTTATGCAAAGCTGTCTTCCTCTGCCTTTTGTTTCTGTAGGAACCGTACACATATAATATTTCTGCTGTGCCCTTTGGAAGAATACTCTGAAATTCTCTGTACAAAGTGCAGTACAAAAGAGAGGTGCAGGTGCTTGGTGTTCAGGCAAAACTCTTCATGTATTTTAAACACTAAGAAGTGAATATTTGATTCTGCAATAGCTTTGCAGATTTTTCTTTCAAAATTATACTTTAGTGTATCTCTATTTCAATGTAGCAATATTTTAATGTTCCTCAGTATGGTTGGAAAAGTAGAAATTTTCCTAACTTGGCCAAAAAGTCAGGTGATGCAATGAAAAAGGGAAAAATAATCTCAATGTTCATTTGTCCATATGCAGATAGACTTCACAGAAGTTTGGGAAGATCAGTGACAAAATGTTTTCAGCAACTTTTTTTTAGGCTATGATGAGAAAAATCCTCAGGAATGATGATCACAGAAAAATGTAGGTTTTTTCTTGTCCCAGAAGTGTGTTTGACTGTTACATCTATTCAGCACTTGTGGAGCCATCAGATATTCCCAGATAATCTTTAAACAAACCTGTGATTTTCCCCTTCCATATCCACTCCATCCTCAGAATAAGAAGAATGAGCATGTGGCCTGTGCTGAGGAGGTGGAGAATTTTATGGAACACTCCTTCCAGGCAGCTCCAGTTTGTGACACAGAAATCCTGTAAGAATTTAGCCTCCATAAAGGCAGCCACCTTCACCAGGGAGCCTCCAGCTAGCATTGCTTCATCTGTATTGAGCAGCTGAAGTGGAGTTTGGCTTTACTTAAAGCAAAAATCCTTGTTTAGCGCCAGGAAGTAAGGACATGAGTCACACCATGCTCTGAGGGTTTGAATTTGTTCCTTTCACTCCAGTGTTGAGGCAAGACACCTTGGGCACCTGCCTCTAATCTGAACTGCTGCTGTCATGCCAGAGCCACTGGAGCTGCTGTTCTTAGACTTTGCTCACTTGTGGGCATAAAGAAGGAACTCATTCTCTGTTACATTTTGAAGGAGAGGACAAAACATTTAGTTTTTCCACAAATCAATTTGTGTTAACCATTTAACCAAGGGAAAACCTTCCAAAACCCCCAAAGAACACAAACCTACCTTTCTCACCAAGTTAAAGGAATCCTCTAGCTCTGGTGGAGCTCATAATTGTGATGGAATACACATTTCCCAGAGGAGACCAACCTGAATTCTATGTACAATGACAGAAGACACAAACTGAATTTCTCTGAGCATCTTTTTCCTCACTTGTCTGAGTCTTGAAAAGGAAGTTCAGGAAAGATTTGTACTTAAAACAGGATATCAGCTTTTCTGGAAACACTGAAGTGACCAAGTGAATATTCAGCAGAACAATTTCTGCCCTAGTGCAGGGTTTCTTGTCTCCAGTTTTAATCCAAAATATGAGGAGAAAGAGCAGATGGGGAATGCAGAGTCCATTTCCTGTTTTCATAAAGGCTAATGTGTGGAAATACAGAGAAGGGGCAAGCTTTTGTAATTCTTACACCATAAATTGTATCTAGGAGGAGAAATTATCTAAATGGAAGTGCTCTTGTGCCTGATACCTGTTTTCCTTCTACCTTTAGTGCTTGGTAAAGAGGGAGGTCTTAACATCTGTTCAGGAGACACTTCCTTTACAGAAGGGTAAATTCTCAACGTGGGTATCTGTACTTTATGTTCATAACTGAGGCTGGATTACTCACTAAGTAAATTGTTGGGGAGGGGAAACATGACATGTATTTATGTTTAGGCAATTGCCTCATCAGATTCCTTCTTTTAGTGAATGCACTTTTAACTCAAACACAGAATTCCTCACAGCAAATAATGGCAGCAGATGTACAGAGAACTGGCTGTTTTGTTGATACTTGCCTGAGGTGGGTTTTGGAACAAAAAGATTGTCCAAACTGAGCAAAGGCCTGGGCTGTGGTTCCAGATGGCCAGGAGTGCTGCTGGGGGGTCTCTCTGCCAGGGGAAGGTGCCACTCCTTAAGTGAGCAAAGCCTGGAAAGTGTCATGAGTCTTGCACTTTATCTTTAGCTACTGACTGCCTTTTTTCAAACAGGAAATCTGAGTGGTGTGTGAATGCTGTGACTCCAAAGTGTGTAAGGTCAGAGCAGCCTTTGTTTTTATTACAGTGAACTGCTCAGCTTTCCTTGAGGGCTTATCTCCTATTTTGGGAAGTTTCTGTCATGTCTGCAGACTTACACAGTAAATGGGAATATCAGATGCCAGCAATATTGCCAAATTAGGCAGCTCAGACCCCTGCTTCAGTCTGTGCTGCTGGTTGCCAACTAGTGGATAGGTTTTCTGAGCTAGCCAGTTCCTGGAGGTGGCAGACTAATGGCCATACAATGGGAAAATTACCTGTAAGCACCTGCTTTAGATTTGCCCCAAAAGGAGAATCCTTAGAGCCATGTTAGTAGGAATTGTTCTTAGTCTGTATTGACTGTGTCATTGGTAGTGTTGGCATATTTTACAGCATTGAAGTTTGGGATTTTTGTGCCTAGAAGCATTGTAACACACAATTCTTACCCTGAAGCCTAAGAGAATGCTAAAATCAGATCCTACTTGGAGGTGATGGTTCATTCATGAATATACTCGGGATGCTTTTGTCTGTATGGAGAACTCTGTTTACAATTTGTTCTCTGTAAAATTACACAGATGAGATACATTACTGGAAACAACCAAGGAGATACCTGGAGATTAAAAAAAAATCCAAACACAATAAACCAACCTTCCAAGCTATAATGAAAAGAAAGAAACAAACAAACAAACAAATCATACATAAGCTGAATAAGTTGTTCTGAAAGAGGTATTTCAGCTGAGTAGAAATGCACAGTAGCAGTGGCAGTTAAAATACTCTTGCTGCTCTATTTAACTGAAGGAATACATCATAAGAGAAAATTATTTTTGTCAGAGTGCACTAAAGCTAAAGCTGTATCAGAAACCTGTCTTTGATGGAGTTGGATTACAGGCTGATGGAACTAATGCCACATATAAAACTGAATGGTATAAATTAGGCATGTGCTGAAATTACAGTTTAAGTACATAGTATTGGAGTTTATCTGTAGAACAATAATTAAGGAAATCTTCCTATTTACATGAAAGTATAATGAAATTCCTCTTTTGAATAAGCTGCCATGGTATTACAAAGTTAGGAAAAGGTAGTTTTCCTTTTTTTTTGATATCTGATATGGAATGTGAGCATTAGGCTGGCAGTTTTGCAGGGCTCTTTTTTGGTTTTGTGCTAAATGTACATTTGTAAATAGAAACAAGTGTATTTGCTGTAATAAACTTTTAAAAATGCATAATGTATTTTTTCTGTATCAGAGGCAATGTGGTATGAACCCAGAAGCTTAAAGGTAAACAACTAATGCTGTATTCAGAACTAGTTTCACTTATTAAGAGATATCCTATTTTATTCATTTAACTATATATGGTATGAACCCAGAAGTTAAACAGGTAAACAACTAATGCTGTATTCAGAACTAGTTTCAGAACTTATTAAGAGTTATCCTATTTTATTCATTTAACTATACAGCGATTAATGAGGATTAATAAGGAAATTAATCACAGTAAACCCCTGAAATGGTCCTAAAAAAAACCACAGCTGAAAGGTTATTTTTCATATTTAAGCTTTTATTTCCTGTTTAAAAAACTCTTAATACAGGTTTATAATTCAGATTGAGTATCTTATTGCTCTGTTTGAATTTGCTTTAATGCCATTTACTTTAGCTTTAATTTCTTTACGTACCATATGTTCTTGTGCTGCAGGTCCTATTTACAGTATAAAAAAGTGAGGGCTAAACCATCAGAATCAAACAGCTTATATGTCATAAACCACCAATGTGCTGAGCCTTTGAGGCACTTAAACAAAAGTAGCCCCTAATAATGTCACTTAATAGAGGCAGAGTCTGTAAATAAGGAACTGCCTTGTGCAAGTCCCGGTGATAAAAAGCTGAGATACAAATCCATATCTCAGCAACACCGTGCTGGTGATCAATCAGCTCCCACTAATGCTGCCAGCCTGGCTGCTGGGCCAGTGTTTGCCTTGTGCTGCAGCAAAATGAGCCTTGCCACGGAGATGGCATCTCCTCATCCTGTGGGAGCTCCAGAGCCAACAGAATTCCCAAGATAATGCACCTTGCTGTGTTTGCACAGTGCTGGTAACTCTTCAACAGCTCTTGGCTAATGCAGTAAGAATATGATGTGGCCACTAAGGATAACATAATGTCAAAGCAAATGGCACAGAATCATAATCACAGGGTTTGAATACACTCTGCAAGACACTGAAAAGAGATTTGGTATTTCAGAGCACTCAGTACTGTTGGATAGTCATTTTAAGGTATCCTAAATAGCAATTAAAAATAAACCTAATGAAAACACCACTTATTTTCCCTTTGCTCTAAGTATCTTAATGTTTACACTCATGGTTTAGTAGTTCACTGAGTAAGTTTCAGTAATTGCTGATATGGAGAATGAGTAAGGTGATTTCTTGCTCCCCCTTAGCTCTAGTGTTCTAGAGGCTCCAGAGAAAGTCATGCCATAATTCTAACCAGCAGCTGTGCTGAAAGCTTGTGGGAGAGGAGAGCTCATTTGGCATATTTGTTGATTTGCAGATGGCTCTATATCCCACTACAGAGAGTTCATGACTCATGCTTACCTTGAATTTTCTGAGACGTTGTTTTAAATCAAAATTCTGATCTGTCAAAACTAAATTGTTCAAGGGAAAAGAAACACAAAGGATTTTATCAGTCTAATTCCCAATATTTCCAGGATTTCTTCTGCTCAAGTGGCTTGGCCTTTGT